TATGACTGTTTCCAATAGTAAGTCTCTGCACCTGTAAGCTACAACTCTGTATGTTTACCTATCTCTCATCTTGTGGGCAGTGGTCTGACCTGTGTCCTTTTCTCTCTTACAGTTCCAAGAAGAGATATTGATTTTTCAGTCTCTTCAGCATGATAATTGTTTTGATCGAGTGATGATTTTCAAGCTTTTTATGTGCAGAAATAGAAACCTGAAATGTATTTCTAAAAATCATCTTCTTAATGTCTATGTAGATGAGCAAAGAATTTTGCTTCATACAACTATGAAAGTTATGAATTATATTGGTAGTCTTCTTAATACTGAGCTTTCCTGTATTCCTAGAATAAACTCAGAAAATTCTTTTCTGGTCTTCACAGTCTATTTCTCTTCTACTATCTTTAAATATTAGTGTTTCCACAGGTTCTGTGCTTCTGCCTTTTTATATTATTATAAGTATTGTTCAATCTGATAGGTTTATTAACTCTGATAACCAAAGGTACAATTGAAATTCTGATACTTTCCAAATTTTTATCTTCAGCTTAGATCTCTCTGGAATTATATATTCAATTGCCATTTGGGCCTTTCTGTAGGTATTTCAAATATAATGAGTCCAAGTGTGTGTTACTTTTTCCAATTATATTATTCCATTTTCCAAATTTTACTGTATGTTGCCAGTACCTAACAAACTGCACTCCTTTAGATAGACTGGGTGTAAAACAATTATTTTTATTCCCTATACAGCAAATTAAGACTACATTCTATTTCTGCTTTTACTTTTATTTTTTCTCTTTTAAAGGGTTAGTTTCATATTTTGTGTGCTTACTGCTCTGGATCCTGATATAGGTGGTCATCTTTTACCCTGTTTTCTTCCTTTCTGACTCTCCCTTCAGCACCTTCTCTGCTCTTTCTAGAGGATGACTATAAAAATGTAAATCTGTACATGTAACTTACCTGTTCTTACAGGAACTCATTATTTACATTGTGTGGCTGGAGAAGTGGCCGTATGCTCCCTGGGTAAACACAAGCAATCTTTTTGCATGTAGGAAGAAAATTTTGAGATGTTTATTACATGCTTTTAATTTATAACTAATTAAAAATCAACAATCAGTGCGTAACATTTTTTTTGCCATTTCATTAAGCTCAAATTGTGGTTATCTCATCAGAACCCAGGACAGAACCCAGGATCATTCACCTAGACATGGTGCTATATGTAGTACCAATCATGTGGTGTGTGTTGTTTGTGCACTTGCAACTGAACTTTTGCTCTTTTCTCATACTCATGAGAAAACATGGTTTGCATAAAAGAGGTGAACATCTTTGGCATTTCAGTGGAGTGCAAATTGAATACAAAGTAGATCTATTTTTTCTCATTCTTTCTAACCCTAGTTTGTATTGATCTTGGGTCTAAATTAATTCTTCTAACACATTATTCCAGGTATGTAAAATACCTTATGTTAAGCTTCTTTGAGGGAGCAGAATTTTGTTCATACTTTTATCCATAGCAACAAGGATTGTGGTAAGTTTTGTAATAGTATTTTTTTTTTTTTGCAGTTAACAAATTGTAACAGTGGCAGAATATTCCTGCTGTCATTTTTTCTTTCTTCCACCATATGAAGTACAAAGAAGCTGCATCTAATGTAAAATACATATGACACATACACAGAGAATTGTGAATTCCAAGATTTCTGTTTTGTGATCAATGGCTTATGACTTGAGTTGAGTAAAATGTGCCATTCCAGGGGTTGGTGTCATTTGAGGATGTGGCTGTGGACTTCACCTGGGAAGAGTGGCAGGAACTGGATGATGCTCAGAGAACTTTGTACATGGATGTGATGCTAGAGACCTATAGCAACCTGGTGTTGTTGGGTGAGTGGAACTCCACAGTTAAGTTCCACGAGTAACACTTTCTTCTTTGTTGGTAAATACGGAAATATCTGTATTTATACCCTTTATAAGGTTCAGTGCTATGTAAGTTTCTATTTAGTGAAGAGAGTGAGAGTCATCCCTCCCTAATGAATGCTTAAAATTGGCTCCTTTACTGCACAGTTTTGAAAGTTGAGCTCTTCTCATTCTTCTAAAGACCTGACTTAGCAGTTTTGCAAATTCCTGGGTTATATCTTATTAACAGGATGCTACATTACCAAACCCAATGTGATCTTCAAATCAGAGCAAGAAGCAGAGGCATGGATGGTAGAAAACACCCCAAACCAGAACCTACAAGGTCAGTGCATACGGGGCACATGCTGGGAAGAGCAAAGCCCTTTGCTGTTTTTGCCAATATTTTTGCTAGGTTTCAGACCTGAAAACATCTGATCTGT